TTATCAATATCTCTGTAAACTAATTCATGCTTATGATAAATGCCTGTTACACGAGAGGGCTTGTATAAGCATTTTTTATTTACACAAATTTCCTGGCAGATATAATGATGCTTCCTTTATTAATAAACTTTCTATTACTTGTTTCTCCTGATCAGTACCTTTGGTAGTTTTGATTTAATAATTTATTATAAATTTTTATTTTCATTGAGTTATATCCCTTCACTCTGATACAGATTTTTATGTGGGAATGTGTTGGATAATAAATTAGACTTTAAAGCTCACTGCTTCTTGGGTATGTGATATATACAGGTGATGTGATGTCATGGCTACACTCGTGTGTGGAACGCCTGGAGGAGATCTCGCAGTCATGTCCTGAAGTCTATTTATACCTTTCCCAGGTATATGCATGGGTGGGCCTTGCGAAGGACTCAGCAACTGCATACAGAACGTACCTTAACACAGGGTGAGTGCTATATCTTAAAGATGATTTTTTGACCTGAATAATATATACTTAATGTACTCATGTATTTTGTGTCCATGTGATGAATTTTTCATTTTATTCAAATTTTAAAAAATGCACCTAGTTCTTGTCTTGATTCCTTTAGATGATTTTATATTATGACAGGTACAAAAGTACCTCAGACTCAACCTTGCCCCCTGGGCAGCTGTTGGGCCGTTCTGGGAGATATGAGAAGCAGCCGTGGAGAGTGTTGTTACAAATGGTTCAGAGTGCCACTTCTGGTACCCCTAAACCCCTGTCTGTACTCTGGAGGACCAGACTTGGGCCACCCAGGTTCTGTGTCACTGATACCCATGGGTAATAGCTTTAAACTGACTTTATTTTACTTCAATTCTGAAATAATGTATCACAGGAGAGGCCATAATAAGATTTGGCCGTAGAAACTGAAAGATAAAAAAATTTGGCAATTTCAAATTCTGCAAATTTTGACAAGCCTGAGTTTATAATCTAATGTACACTCCATATACTGTACAGTTGTTTAAATTTTGCTGTTGACCAAGTGTATGGCTACTTCACAGGGATTGAAGTTCATGCAGTGCCCTCTTCAGCAGAAAACAGCACAGCATATTTATAAGCATTTTGTGAGAAGTTGATTAAAGTTGAAATATTTACTGGGAACTTCACTTTTTGCTACCTCTCAAAAGCAGCAAAATTTAATTCCATCTGGATATTTCCTACTATACTGCTAAAATGCTCAATAAACTGCAAATATGTTGTTGAAATTTTCAAAATATTGAAAGGATTTTACCAGGTATTAGCTCCTTGGCAATTGTCTTGTTCTAGGATTTTTGAAGGGTATGATATAAAAAAGTATGTAATTTACTGTTCTTTGATGAATTGGGAGGGAGTCTTGATATTAGGGGAGGCTAGAGTGCTAGTGGGAACTCATGTGGATGTCAAGGCAGAAGTGATTGCATTTTCTGTATTTAGAAACTGCCTTCTAGCTACATGGTTAGTACAAGATTTACAACAAGGAAGGCAAAAGGGTCTGTCCCATATTGAAAATCATGTTTGATAGACAAAAAGTTCAAGGGTGGTTTCAATAGGCTGTCTACAGATAGGACAGGATTTACATGGAAGTCTGTAGGGGTAATCTCCAATAGGGTTGGTGTCCAAAGGCTACTTCAGCACTTAATAGCATTTTTCATAGCCTAATATTGTTGATTTATGTTGAAGGAGTTGGGAGGCTGATAGGAGAAGTTCTGAAGTAAATCTTACTCTCAGTAAAGATGGAAAAATCACAGGAGATCTACAACTGTTACTACCCTCCATCAGAGGAGTACAGTTAGATCCATACACAGGGTGAGTATCATTAGATACACACACAGGGTGAGTACCAGAGATGTAACTTTCCTCCATTATGGGAGTATAGTGAGATCCACATACAAGATGAGCACTGCAGTTAGTACTGTCCTCAATAAGAGGAGTACACTAATTCCCAAGACAAGGTGAGTATAGTAGGACCCGCACACAAGGTGAGTACTTGAGATCTTAATGTCCTCCATTAGTGGAGTACAGTTTGACTCAGTCACAGGGTGAGTACTGGAGATGAAACTGTCCTCAAATAAAGGAGTACAGTTAGGTCCACACAAAAAGTGAGTACTGAAAGTATTACTGTCCTTCATTAAAGGAGCACACTTAGATGCACATATAGAGTGAGTACTGGAGATGTTACTGTCCTCCATTAAAGGAGTGCAGTTAGATGCACATATAGAGTGAGTACTGGAGATGTTACTGTCCTCCATTAAAGGAGTACAGTTAGATGCACATATGGAGTGAGTACTGGAGATGTTACTGTTCTCCATTAAAGGAGTACAGTTAGATGCACATATAGAGTGAGTACTGGAGATGTTACTGTCCTCCATTAAAGGAGTACAGTTAGATGCACATATGGAGTGAGTACTGTAGATGTTACTGTCCTCCATTAAAGGAGTACAGTTAGATGCACATATGGAGTGAGTACTGGAGATGTTACTGTCCTCCATTAAAGGAGTACAGTTAGATGCACATATAGAGTGAGTACTGGAGATGTTACTGTCCTCCATTAAAGGAGTACAGTTAGATGCACACATGGAGTGAGTACTGGAGATGTTACTCTCCTCCATTAGAGTAGTAAGTTTGAACTACAGACAGGGTGTTCAAAGGAGATGCTACTGCACTCTATTAAATAGTAGCTGGTACAACGCATATAATGACAAACTTTTAAAATCTACTACACTTATATATTTATATACACTACCACTTTGATATCAGAAAACCAAAATGAAGATGTCCGGAATCATCACTAATTTGTTGTTTTGAGCATAAATAGATATCAGTTTTAAAGTGAAGATGGGAGAAAAGATTTACGGAAAAAGCCTCTTAGGATTGTTGCATATAATCAGAATTATTGATTGTAACATATAAAACATTTCAACTTGTAACTTTTAAGAATGTTAATTTTTTTCATGTGATGATTAACATTGTCTTATCCATGGTATTTTTCAGGATACTGTCTTTTCCTCATATGCCTGGAGAAACTTATCAGTGGAAGTCCAGTGATTTCCGATATCGTCACGATCAGACTTCAGGTGAGTTAAAGTGGTCTTAATGGGAAAAAAATATCACTTGAATTTGTAAAGTTCTTGCACTTTGTCTGATGCCCATTCACTGTTAAATGTAACTTTATTTCTACCCCTCCAGAATGGCTAATTCAATCCTAACCAGACTTTTGGTTGTTGCAATGATAACATGATATTAGAAAAAAAATATATTGACAATTGTCTTTCCTTTAGGATCTAATCCTATCATTATTTAGATGATTTTTATTTCTTTGGAGTGGTATTGCTGTCCGATATTCTTGTGTATATTTTAAGTTTATGCACATTTTTATGCCCCCGCCATTTATGGACGGGGGTATATAGCGTTGCCCATGTCCGTCTGTCCCGTCCCGTCCCGTCGCGTCCCAAATCAGTATATACCACCTTCGGAAGGCAATTTTCATGAAACTTCATACAAATATCAAGTATGGAAAGACCTCATGCAGTGTTGAATTTTTCGGCATTCTAAAAAAAGATGGCCACCAGGGGGAGATAACTCAAAAAAGAGGAACATCATCTTATTTCTACATAATTTGGTACTTGTGGGTTTTAAGGCATAAGGAACTAATATACTCCCTCATTTTTTCCAGAGAACAAAATTCCAAATTCATATACGTTAAATCAACTTGTCAATTTAAGTATGAAACTTAAGTTGTACATAGTTGCATACAAATTAACAAAATCATCTCTTTCGGACCTTTCACTATTATTTCATATGGGGGGGCGGGGGCATTCATGTCTTACAGACATTTTCTAGTTTTATATAAATTTTATGAAATATGCATATAACTAAGCTGTGAATTCCAACTGTCTGTTACCAATATCTAGAACAAATCACTACTCTTACTCAAAACCTGAGGTGTGCTTATCACAAGACAATAACCCCAGGTGATGAACACAGTACCTCTTACTCAAAATCTGAGATGTGCTTATCACAAGACAATAACCCCAGGAAATGAACACACTACCTCTTCCTCAAAATCCGAGGTGTGCTTATAACAAGACAATAACCCCAGGTGATGAACACACTATATCTGATTCAAAATCTGAGGTGTGCTTATCACAAGACAATAACCCCAGGTGATGAACACACTACCTCTTACTCAAAATCCGAGGTGTGCTTATCACAAGACATTAACCCCAAGGAACCAACATACTATATCTGATTCAAAATCCGAGGTGTGCTTATCACAAGACAATAACCACAGGTGATGAACACACTATATCTGATTCAAAATCTGAGGTGTGCTTATAACAAGACAATAACCCCAGGTGATGAACACACTATATCTGATTCAAAATCCGAGGTGTGCTTATCACAAGACAATAACCCCAGGTGATGAACACACTATATCTGATTCAAAATCCAAGGTGTGCTTATCACAAGACAATAACCCCATTTGAGCTGGGGCGACAACACACTTCCACTGACTTAAAGTCAGGGAAGGGCTTATTACAGGACAATGGAATACAGACATATTTATTTAATGGCAACATCTATTTTCCAGAAGACGTATTGAGATTCATCCTTTAAAAAATTGCTCTTATTATCTAACCACTAATCAGTAATAGGCCCACCCATACATATTGCTGTAAAGGATAGATACAAACAAATACTATGCTTTACATGTGTTATATTATTGTTCTGCTGTCCGACATTCTTGATGAAAATTTGCGATATTTTCAGTCAGAATTTTTAATTTTGGCCCCTTAGGCTTGTTTTGTGATACATATAAAGGTATACTAACCCTGATAGGAATCGTGATATAAATTGTATAATATGTATATATGTCTTTTACATATGATTAAAGATGTAATATCAGAATTATCTATATGTCACAAATATTGCATATTGCTGACCCTTAGGGAATTTTCATGAACCTACCCTGATTCCTACCCCGATGGAGCTGTACTGTGATCACTATGGAAACAGAGTGCATCTCCTCAGTTCCCCAATGAAGGTCAAAAGAAATGAAGAGAAACCTAGTAGCCATGTCCTTTTCTGGACAGGAGCAGACGGACGAAGGTCAAAGGTTAATCTAAATGCCAAAGTCAAACAGTCAGTCTATGAGGTAAATGTGATTAGGGACTACACTGAAGACGGTTTAGGTCAAAATTGTTACAATATTTTGAAGGGATTTTGATCATTGCTTTGCTGAAGGGTGATATATAAAGTAAAAATTGTTAGACTCATAGCCTGTTTCTTGCATCCCTTGAAAATTATACCCAAGATAAAAAAAAAATAAAGAAGAAAAAGAAAAAAAAATCATAACATTATTTGTAAAAAAAATCATTTTTATCACAGACTTACATATCTAAGTCCATTAATTAACATGCTACTATGAGAAATCAATTAATGGGTAACATGTTCATATCTTGATACTATCCTTGATGAAATGATGAAAAAAAAAATAATAATAATAATAAAAAAGGGTGAAAATACCAACTGTTTTTGTAAACCCCACAGAAAAGCAAGTTTTTGACTCCAACATTATGGTTTTGGGTTGGTTTTATATCGTTTCATGTCCTGTTAACAGCTGTGGTCATTTTGGTATGGTCAAACACTTTATATACTAACTATTGATACAGGTAAAGCTGATTTTTACTTTAATCTTTCTTGTTAATGCTCCCTGAATGTTTTTGGGGGAGCATATAGACAATGTGTAGTGTTCCAAATTCAGGACCTACAACACCCTCTTCACTGAGTTATTTTCCTTTGTTGAAATTCAATGTCTAGAGCACAGCTTTAAATTCCTTGCATTTAAATTAGGATAACAAAACATGGTGGATACATTGATCATTGACTCCTAAATTACAGAGTTATTGCCCTTCATTTAAGATTTCGTCATGAGCATAGCTTTGCTTGCATTAAAACTAGGATAATGAAAGTAGGTGTGTACATTGATCATTCTCTGAGAATGTGCAGTATACTGAAGTCAATGCCTGAAACCCCTTAATTACAGAATGATTGCCCTGTTTTTGAGCCCAATAAAGTCATTTTCGGAGAGCATCATCAGTTTCGCTGATATTTTCTTTTATGTATATTTATCATGTTACCAGGTATCTTTCCAAGAGATCAGTATTTATTGCTAGTAAGTGTCTAAAGTGGTTCTGAACCTTCAACTCGAAGGAGGTGGGGACCTTGATAACTGAGAATCAGTCAGTAGATTAACAGACTACTCAACCTCAGGAGAGGTTTGTGATATTCCTACTCAGGATGGTTAGTGTTTATCAGGAAGCTGAGGTCATGACTGATCTGAGCTGGCTCGGTTGTGTTCTTGGGCAAGATACTTTTCCTTAATAGCTCTGGATGGCATGCTACAGACTTTCTGTATATTGTTCGGTATAGCCACCTGAGCTGCTACAAGGCATCTCCACCACAAAATACCACAGACTATTCACTGGGTAATAAACACATCAATTCTTGAGAAAATGTTGTGTTTCAGTTTTCTTTAGACATACATGTACATAAACCTTCAGCAATTTAAAGTTTTAGTACTATATAAACATTTTGATGCCCTTGTCATTTTATATGGGATAAAAGACATGTTTGAGAACCTCCCATCTGATTTGGTTTATTTCTTTGAGAAAGAGCAGATGTGATTGACTTTTTTTGTGAATATTGATAACTTGAGTAAATATGCATAAATTTTGGTGAAACTTGATTTTGAAGCCTTATATTAATTGCAGAATTATTTATAGAGTTATAGCCCTTTGTATATTTATTATCTTGGATGTTTTGAACACAATAATTTGAGTAGTTGTAATCAGGTTTTTAGGAAACCTGGTAGGCAGTATTATACCAACAACATCACAGACAGGTTCAACCTTGGAACCAGTTTCATTGTAACTTACATAGATATGACCCATTGAATTTTTTTCTAATGCTGGACCTGGTGAACATGATAATTTTAGTAAATATGATCAGGTTTTGATGAAATTTGGTGTGCAGCCTTATATCAATAAGATCTTGAATGAACATTACTGATTCAATGGTACTTTACAGAGTTATGGCCCTTCCCAGTTTTACTACCATATATCCATGCAAAGGCAACAACTTGAATGGTTTTTAATAAAACTCTGTATGCAGCCTTGTGTCATTAAGATCTCTCATTAATTCAACACTGGCACCGCATTGATGTAACTTACAATGTTATGGCACTTCACCGTTTAATTTTGGTTGCGGTTAGTAAAGTGACTATTTAGGCCGATGGGTCTCTTTAGATTTTTTTTGCCGATATGTTATTCCTTTGCAGGACAACAAAAATCGAGCATCAAAGGAACTGAGTAATGAAAAGAACAAAAATCCATTAAGAGGAAAGTATAATCGTCATCCTTTCATTTGCCATCTGAATAGTCTTGCTCGATTCTCCAGTACTATCGCCATTCCTGTCAGTTTCCAGCCTAACCAAGATGGTGTCAGCAAAGGTATTGTGGTGAGTAATGCTACTTTATACATGGAAGGTTCTGACACAGAAATGTCTTGTAGAAATAATATTTCAAAATGTATGGAAGATTCTGACAGAAAAATATTTTTGTGATTGATGATATTTCTACTAAAACATATGTCAATGCATCTTTCACAGTTTGTAGACTGTTCATGTCTGGAGACTTTCTTGGAGATCAAAGTTTCTATTAAAAACTTTGGTGAACTCTATTCTGGACAACCTGTTTGGGAGACAACTTCTGTGTCCAGGATGCTGACTTTTCAACATTCAGACCTTTTACCAATCCTTGTTTCACCCAGGTTTGTGATCAAGATGTTTTCAATGTTTTTCAAGACAAAGTCCTGACTGTATGTGATAAATGTACAAAACAAAATCCTCTTGGTTTGAAACTTTCTGAATACATACAGTTCTACTAGTGTTAGAATGTATGTGAAGGGAAATTTGAGAATTCTTTGACCACCCTGATAACAGGCATACTGAATATTGCTTAAGCACTACAAATCCCCTACTGACCCCCACAAGTGAGATCCCTAACAATGGTTTTCTAAAAATAGTAACAGAGACCTTGACCCAACACCCTAAAAATCGAACTTGTGAGTGTGAGGTCTGATCAAAATTCTTGTGAGTGGTTATTGCTCAACTTATCAACAGTTTTATGATGAAATAATTGAAGCATATTCATTTTTTAATTCAAATTTCAATTTCAGTTTAAAACACATTCTTGACCATCTACAATTTTCTATTCATTTAGGAACTGAAATGTGAAGTAAATAAATAAAGCTCTGTTTGTCAACAAATCTGTATTTGTGTTTATTTGATGCAAATGTTATTTTCTAAATTTGAACTCCCTGACTTTTCAGTGAAGTAAAATACTATGACAAGTACGGAGAGGAATTTGACAACGTGTACATATCAGATGTAAACATAGAATGTTGTGTGCCACAAGTGTACAGAAATCTGGTGTTATATGTCAACCAAGAGAACAAGTAAGTCCTACACACATACATTATACTGTTTACTTGTTCTATCACGTGGGGCTCATATTTTACAGTAGTTGTTCTCATTTTGGCTCGTTAATAATTTTTAATTTTGCTCATGTTTATGAACTGGTGTCTTTGTACACAGATATAAAGTATATTTTCAGGGATTTTCATTCATTTTAGAAATGTTCAACACGTATCTGACTTCACCTTATTTTTCTCCGCTGCCACTACAGCGAAATTAAATCCCTTGTAAATATCACCAACAATACACTTTATACATGTATAGATGATCATAAATGAGATTCTATTCATAGACACAATTCTGAAAATAGAATGAAAGTTCTTATAACACAGCCTTTGAACATTTAAGCGTGTGTTTCAATGACAACACATCACCTTCATTAGACAAATGACCATTGTGAAGTGTACAAGCACTGACGTACAAAGTGTACAAGATGTTAAGAAATCAGCCAACTTTTTCGAGTGTAATGTAATTTTACTTTTTTCTATAATCTTTATATATTTTCTACCATAGTGTAAATAAGATAACTGTACAGCTGGAAAGCTTGATCAGTTCTATACCATTTTGTACACTTTTTTCACTTTTTTCACACAATTTTCCATTTTACCACGTCTTTGTCAAAGTGATATTCAAAGTGAAAACTACGTACATTCCACACTGGTCATTTATTTGATGAAGGTGCCTGTGCATACTTAAATCTTTTTCTGGTTATGTTATAAGATCTTCTACATCCTTGATACTCCAGGGTTACAATAAATCTCTGCACTCCTGGAACATGTCATGTCAAAATTGAAAGTTCCATGAGCTACACCTTATGAACAAGATGAAAAGACGAGTTTAATTCTCTGATGTACATCAAACTAATCTCAAGGTCACATAACAGTATATTGTAATGGCTTTTAAGTTGAGTGTTGCTTGTTTGTAATCTTCAAAAGGAGCTTATCAGTCTGTGATTGGTCAGTTTTTTTTCTCCTTGAACCAGCAAATTACTTCTCTTGTGCCTTCAATTTTGCCATTAAATGTTCCAGGGATGTGAAGAGAAAGTTATTGTGACCCCTGGAGAATCGAGGATGTATATTCTATTGACATTACCAACCTGAAGAAACTGTTCCAAATCTTTTTGGTGATATACATTTTCGTCAGAGTTGATAAGAGACGATAAATGATGAATTTCTTAACTTTTTGATAGGTTGTACAGCGCTTTGTCAAAATTAGTCTTAATTTCAGTCTTTAGGTTACCATACTGAACTGATGTGGTGGATATATATCACCGATCACATCTTTATCCTGACCTGTAATAGGGCATTGAAAAAAATGTCTTCATAAGACATTCTTTCTTCATACTGTCTAACATGAATATTTCTTTCATTTAATCTAGCCTTGTCAAAAGTCTGAATGGGGATGGATTGACAGTAGAACATTTTGACTTTGTAGACAAAATGGTTGTCTGTCGAAATGTTATTATCATGTTCAACAAGGAGAGACTCATTTTCGCAGATACCATCTCTTTGTTACCATTGGAAGTACTCATCACTGACAGGTGAGTAGCGTTTGTGTGAGTACTCATCACTGACAGGTGAGTAGCGTTTGTGTGAGTATATCATCCCGAGAGTATAAATGGAATGTAAATGGAAAGTATAAGTACATGTTGCCATAACACTGATATTGGTTGGTGAGACAATATCTGAAATGGAAGGAGTCACAGAGACGATATCCAAAAGTGGAGGGGTCACAGAGACGATATCCGAAAGGGGAGGGGTCACAGAGACGATATCCGAAAGTGGAGGGGTCACAGAGACGGAAAACCTGTCAACTAACCAAAGTATAGGTGACGAGTATAAATAAAGTGTAGACAGACTATGGTTAAGAGTAATTAGGGGTATTTTACATTAGATGATATGATTGGATAGTTTACATTAGAGGAGATGATTGGATAGTTTACATTAGAGGATATGATTGGATAGTTTACATTAGAGACTGTGATTGGATATTTTACATTAGAGGATATGATTGGATAGTTTACATTAGAGGATATGATTGGATATTTTACATTAGAGGATATGATTGGATAGTTTACATTAGAGGATATGATTGGATAGTTTACATTAGAGGAGATGATTGGATAGTTTACATTAGAGGAGATGATTGGATAGTTTACATTAGAGGAGATGATTGGATAGTTTACATTAGAGGAGATGATTGGATAGTTTACATTAGAGGATATGATTGGATTGGATAGTTTACATTAGAGGATATGATTGGAAAGTTTACATTAGATGATATGATTGGATAGATTACATTAGAGACTGTGATTGGATATTTTACATTAGAGGATATGATTGGATAGTTTACATTAGAGGACTGTGATTGGATATTTTACATTAGAGGATATGATTGGATAGTTTACATTATGATTGGATAGTTTACATTAGAGATATGAGATGATATGGATAGTTTACATTAGAGGATATGATTGGATAGTTTACATTAGAGACTGTGTTTACATTGGATATTTTACATTAGAGGATATGATTGGATAGTTTACATTAGAGGAGATGATTGGATAGTTTACATTAAAGGGATATGATTGGATAGTTTACATTAGAGGCTGTGATTGGGTATCTTACATTAGAGGATATGATTGGATATTTTATGTTTGACTGTGCTAATTTTATATCTTTAATATGAGAGGGTAATATGATATTTTACATTTGGTAGAATTGTTGGATATTTTACTTTTGATAGAATTGTTGGATATTTTACATTTGAGTGTGTGACTGGGTATTTTACATTTGAGTGTGTGACTGGGTATTTTACATTTGAGAGTATGACTGGGTATTTTACATTTGAGTGTGTGACTGGGTATTTTACATTTGAGAGTGTGACTGGGTATTTTACATTTGAGAGTATGACTGGGTATTTTACATTTGAGTGTGTGACTGGGTATTTTACATTTGAGTGTGTGACTGGGTATTTTACATTTGAGAGTGTGACTGGGTATTTTACATTTGAGTGTATGACTGGGTATTTTACATTTGAGTGTGTGACTGGGTATTTTACATTTGAGTGTATGATCAGAAAATTCACATTTTATGGGATGTTTGGATACTTTACCAGGTACATTTTAGAGTAAATTTGTTTTACATTGATTGCTGGTATAAATAAATTAATTGTCACAAGGAAAAACTGAGTTCTGTAATTACCAAGTACTTTCATATTCTATACAGAATTCATACTTCGCTACCAAATGGAGTAGTTTACAAAGAAAGGATAAAACACCTAAATGTGATCGGTGAAAAAGAGATTAAGAAGGAGTCAGGAATCACATGTAACATGGTAGCCATAGCGATGGACACACATTTGATTGTTGTGGAAATACCATTATGGTAAGTCTGTCCCTGACACAGCGTACACCTGTCTCTATGTCTTAGAGTCTGGAAACCTGAATTATGATAATTAGTGTGTTTCATGTTTAACTCACATGCCATGATTATAATCAGCTGTACAACATACTTAATTGACATACAATACAAAATAATTCTGTGTCATATTTGTTCACAAAGACAGTGTTTACTATAGCAGACTTTGAGGTTTGTTTTCTGTGTTGTATTGCCTCAACATAACATCCATATATGTATGGTAGTACAAGGTTTGCTTCTGAAACTGCAGTTAAAGAAATATACAGTTATGACAATATGAAACCTCATGAAGCCTACTTTTCAAATACGAATTTCTGTAATTCAAGTTTATAAAAAACAACATTTCTGTCATTCTATTATTCTTTCTTATGCCTTTATTTAATTAGATCTTTAGATATTTTACGATACGTAAGAGGTGATTTGACTATTTTTTTTAGTCTATAGTCTCTGTTTTAATGAAAAATGAATAAGCTTGTTTGTATATGAAGGAGGGGACTTGATAGATATTGTGAGGTATGTGATGAAAATTGAAAATTTCTTTTGAACCTGTAAATAATACCGTTATAGTTTGCATTACCATTCACTGGTTTGCATCAAGTAGGGAGGAAGATTTAAGGAATATGAAAAATCTTACGTATTATCATTTCAATTCATGGCATGTTTCAGAATATACAAACATACTGATGTTTCTTGTAAAATTGTCTGATATAAAATGTCATATCATGTCTAAATGTTTCTCGTATGTTTGAACACCAGTGAAGAACCAGAGTTTGTTGAGATTAAGATGTGTGTTGAAGTTCCTGGCCTTGCTAAAGATATCTGCTTCATCAGCCCTCATGGTAAGTATTTTTTGTAATGTTATTATGTCATCAAGCTAAGTTTGAAGCATAATGTTATCGTTCAGTTTCTTAGACTTTATGGGAATCAATAATGGGTGTAATTTTCGTTGGGCTTAGTTTTTGCTATTTTTAAGAAGGATTGGATCTGGATAAGTACATTTTTATCCACAAGATAAAAAATGATAAAGAAACCAATGGTATGTTTCGTTATTTCCATGAAAAATTCACGATTTTTACATTAAACTTTTTGTAAATCCCAGAAAATTTTAACATTAAAAACAAGAGAATCGGTAGAACCCATTGATGTACCCCGAATAAATGCTAGTATGAAAAATAGCAAAGGGCCATAACTCCTGAATTACGCAATGGAGAGTTATGGTTAATGTACACTGCACTTCTCATGGAGATCTATCTACCTAAGAAGTTTCATGTTGATAACTCATCAAGTTTTTGAGATATGCTTCAGATAAAATTATGACTGATGGACAAACAGACAAACAAATGAACAATGTGGCAACTATATGCTCTGCCTTTGTGGAGCATAAAGATCAACTTGTGGAATAAATCACATTTCTTTAGCTAATTAAATGAATGTATGGAAAGGCTTTTTGAAAGGTAACCTAGAACAAAAATAATGGTTCCATCTCCAGCACCAAATTGCCAAACTATTACCTTGATAAAGAAAGTTCTGGTGTTGAAACAGTGACCAACATAATACTGTCATGATTCTTTAATTTAAATTAATGATACTGCAGTGTGTAGTGTTATATCTTTAAATAAATTAAACATACATGAGTAGAATAAGTGAAATAGTGAAACCAGTATTAATAGATTAAAACTACAGCATCATTTAAATTTAACCCCTGTCTGGTTCCACAGCTGGTTTTCTGGTGTCAGTGACCCAGCACGACAAAGCAGACTACTTGCCCCGAGAGACGCTCTACCATTTGGATTCAAGTGGCAGACTCCAGGGGCTGTTGCCTGGACTTGGCAAGGGGCCACGCTCATTTCTACCCCTTATGCTGTCAGCTGAGGGGACAGAATCAGACAGAAAGGCTTGGCACATATACCTGAGGGATGGACATGATGGAATCATGTGTATTCGCCTAGATTAAGTAATGATATAGGAACAGACTGTAAGACTTTTAAGGAATCTTCAGTTTCGTAACTGTGCTTCTGTGAGAGATCATAACATTTCCTTGATTTTTCTGATGTCTGTTCGCTAGCTGTTTGCTAGCTGTTCGCTAGTGATGGCAGTTACTTTTATTTTACCAGATTTACACCAAAAACACTCCTTCCCTTACAACCCTCTCTACTTAGTGTCCGAAATAAAAGTTCAAGACAAAATAAACCACTGGCCAATGTACACATGTATCCCTCCAAGCATAGTAGTTATAGTCAGCAAGGATTAACTTTGGTGACACTAATTAATTAGATAATTGGGCAGTGTACTTGTCTAGACCTTGATTATGTGGCCAGGTGGTCAGTGTAACTTGTTAATGGTTCTATTTGACAAGCTGACTTATGACCTACAAATGTACCGAGCGGGATCTCTGGAAAAGGAGATTACCTCTTTTCTTGTCAATATCAGGAAGTAGGGCAAGGGATTGAAAATCGGGAAACTTCTGTTTAAATTGACCAAATTGGCAAGTATGACAATTCAATTGCAAAACCGGCCTGGAAATGTGTAATTATTCTAGCAGTACCAGAGAAGTTTGATATTTAAAATCAATGTTCAGATCTGAAAACCTCTCTGATTGTAGAATCTCAAGGTCTTGAGGAGTTTATTGGTATACATATGATTGGTTTATATGCTTTGACTGACAAGAAGTATCCAGTTATTATGGTTTTTCATATCTATTTTTTTTCTAATTTCTGAAAAATTGATTATATTTGCATTTCTGTCAAAAATGTCACAATTGTTCTCTTAACTGATATTGTAACCTTTGGAAGTAAACATAATGAATTCTTTATATTGACACTCCACAACCTTCCTATATACAGTCCACACCCCTCCTATATACAGTCCACACCCATCCTATATACAGTCCACACCCCTCCTATATACACTCCACACCCCTCCTATATACAGCCCACACCCCTCCTATACACACTCCACACCCCTCCTATATACAGCCCACACCCCTCCTTTATACATCCCACACCCCTCCTATATACACTCCACACCCCTCCTATATGCAGTCCACACGCCTCCTTTATACAGCTCACACCCCTCCTATATACACTCCACACCCCTCCTATATACACTCCACACCCCTCCTATATACAGTCCACACGCCTCCTTTATACAGCCCACACCCCTCCTATATACAGCCCACACCCCTCCTTTATACAGCCCACACCCCTCCTATATACAGCCCACACCCCTCCTATATACAGCCCACACCCCTCCTTTATACAGCCCACACCCCTCCTATATACACTCCACACCCCTCCTATATACAGTCCACACCCCTCCTTTATACAGCCCACACCCCTCCTATATACAGTCCACACCCCTCCTATATACAGTCCACACCCCTCCTATATACAGCCCACACCCCTCCTATATACAGTCCACACCCCTCCTATTTACAGTCCTCAACCCTCCTATATACACTCCACACCCTTCCTATATACAGTCCACACCCCTCCTTTATACATCCCACACCCCTCCTATATACAGTCCACACCCCTCCTATATACAGCCCACACCCCTCCTTTATACTTCCCACACCCCTCCTATATACAGTCCACACCCCTCCTATATACAGCCCACACCCCTCCTTTATACTTCCCACACCCCTCCTATATACAGTCCACACCCCTCCTATTTACACTCCACACCCCTCCTATATACAGTCCACACCCCTCCTTTATACAGCCCACACCCCTCCTATATACAGTCCACACCCCTCCTTTTTACAGTCCTCAACCCTCCTATATACACTCCACACCCTTGCTATATACAGTCCACACCCCTCCTATATACAGTTCACACCTGTCCTATTTACACTCCACACCCCTCCTATATACAGTCCACACCCCTCCTTTATACAGCCCACACCCCTCCTATATACAGTCCACACCCCTCCTATTTACACTCCACACCCCTCCTATATACAGTCCACACCCCTCCTATATACAGTTCACACCCCTCCTTTTTACAGTCCTCAACCCTCCTATATACACTCCACACCCCTCCTATATACAGCCCACACCCCTCCTATATACAGTCCACACCCCTCCTATATACACTCCACACCCCTCCTATATACAGTCCACACCCCTCCTATATACAGTCCACACCCCTCCTTTTTACAGTCCTCAACCCTCCTATATACACTCCACACCCCTCCTATATACAGTCCACACCCCTCCTTTTTACAGTCCTCAACCCTCCTATATACACTCCACACCCCTCCTATTTACACTCCACACCCCTCCTATATACACTCCACACCCTTCCTATATACAGTCCACACCCCTCCTATATACACTCCACACCCCTCCTATTTACAGTCCTCAACCCTCCTATATACACTCCACACCCCTCCTATATACAGTCCACACCCCTCCTATATACAGTCCACACCCCTCCTTTTTACAGTCCTCAACCCTCCTATATACACTCCACACCCCTCCTATATACAGTCCACACCCCTCCTATATACAGTCCACACCCCTCCTATTTACAGTCCTCAACCCTCCTATATACACTCCACACCCTTCCTATATACAGTCCACACCCCTCCTATATGCACTCCACACCCCTCCTATTTACAGTCCTCAACCCTCCTATATACACTCCACACCCTTCCTATATACACTCCACACCCTTGCTATATACACTCCACACCCTTGCTATATACAGTCCACACCCCTCCTATATACACTCCACACCCTTCCTATATACAGTTCACACCTGTCCTATATACAGTTCACACCTGTCCTATGTTATATACAATGACTCACCGATTGTATTGGTTGGATATAGACTTTAGAACTCTGACTTTTGATCTGAACAACATGTAAAGACACAAAAGATATGGAATAACTTTTTTACCATGTATATATATTAATAACAACACTGTTAGTCCAGGAAGGGCAAAATCATTATGAATTTTGGTGAAGGAATGAAAATATGACAGTTTGAAAATCCAAAATCCAAAAGTGCCATGTAGATTTTTAGGTCTGATGACCGAAGGGTCTGATGACCTATTGCAATCGCCTTTTGTTTGGCGGCTTCCGGCATCTATCGTACGTCGTCCATCGTAAACATTTTCTACTTCTTCTCAAGTTCTACATGTCTCATTGAGATGAAACTTACCTGAAATGATCCTGACATGATCAGGTTGGCCATCTTGAAAACACATTTTCGACTTCTTCTCAAGTTCAAAATTTGAAATCTTGTATTTTATGTCAGATGACCGTTAAGGCCAATGGACCTCTTGTTTTTGATAAAAGAAAATGGAATTTTCAGGTCATGATTATCATGATATATTCGATAATTAGCATATTTCTGTGCTAAAATTGTCTATTGTGGTTATTGTATTGTAAATTTTAGACTTATTTACATAAATACTCCATTTTGGTGTCAATGTTAGATAAACGTTACTATAATTAACACATTGTATTGTTATATGACTGAGAATATCCCATCGCTGTGATTGGCCAAGAGGTCTTCTGCAGGTTTGACAAATGCAATCTTAATTTTATAACAGAAGAATTTCTGCTTGGGAACAAAATATCCATGACACATGGTTATCATAGCAAATTGATAACCTAGACTAAACAGAAATCCATCGAATTTCTATGACACAGGGTTATCATTACAAATTGATAGGCTGGGCTAAAAATCAACCTCTTCTTTTCGTTTTAATATGGACATCTTAATTTTCATGTCATGTAACAAACATTACAATATCTTTTAGACTAATACAATCATTTGTTGACTTCCAAAATATGATATTCCTCTCAGCCTGCATGGGAGACATCGCCTTAACCTTTAACAAAGTGATATTTTTTTTCAAAATATTTCAAGCCTCTGAAAGGGTCAATGAGAGATTAACTTCTGAAATATGTAGATTTTCATTGAATCTTGTGACAATGCTATATTTTCATGGTCACCTTGTTTAGTTTTCTATTTATCATTAATAGCAGTGTATCTAGTTTTAGCTGATTTACTTGATCATATGTGTATAATATTGTCACTGAAGCACGTAGAGAAGACTTTCCTGGCACTTTTATTATTACAAAGACTGTCAAAGGAAAATGCATAACCTAAATATGGTAAAGTTTTTATTCAAATATCTATCTCTTCATTATTGTTTGTTTATTTATTTGGGTTTTTTTATCTATCTCTTCATTTCTTCATTATTGTTTATTTATTTGGGTTTTTTATCTATCTCTTCATTTCTTCATTATTGTTTGTTTATTTATTTGGGTTTTTTATCTATCTCTTCATTTCTTCATTATTGTTTATTTATTTGGGTTTTTTATCTATCTCTTCATTTCTTCATTATTGTATGTTTATTTATTTGGGTTTTTTATCTATCTCTTCATTTCTTCATTATTGTTTATTTATTTGGGTTTTTTATCTATCTCTTCATTTCTTCATTATTGTTTGTTTATTTATTTGGGTTTTTTATCTATCTCTTCATTTCTTCATTATTGTTTGTTTATTTATTTGGGTTTTTTATCTATCTCTTCATTTCTTCATTATTGTTTGTTTATTTATTTGGGTTTTTTATCTATCTCTTCATTTCTTCATTATTGTTTGTTTATTTATTTGGGTTTTTTATCTATCTCTTCATTTCTTCATTATTGTTTGTTTATTTATTTGGGTTTTTTATCTATCTCTTCATTTCTTCATTTCTTCATTATTGTTTATTTATTTGGGTTTTTTATCTATCTCTTCATTTCTTCATTATTGTTTATTTATTTGGGTTTTTTATCTATCTCTTCATTTCTTCATTATTGTTTATTTATTTGGGTTTTTTATCTATCTCTTCATTTCTTCATCATTGTTTGTTTATTTATTTGGGTTTTTTATCTATCTCTTCATTTCTTCATTATTGTTTATTTATTTATTTGGGTTTTTTATCTATCTCTT